AGCCTGATCCTTGGGTGAAAGAATCATGTCTTCTTCCTCAAGCGTCCAGCATTCGGCACTGTGCCTACAACATAACAGTAACTCAATCGATGTGCATGGAAAGGACAAATAATCTGTGCTGAGTATTGGGAATTAAGGCTACAGAGGAATGAAAGTCCTTGAATTCAAAGATAAAAACCACTGACCCACAGGAATTCAGGCCACAGCAGCTTGCTGGGCTATCCAAGAAAACTGCCCTGCTCCTGTCTCACTGTGGTATTCACCTGGCAAAGCAGCCTGGTTAATCCCAACTGTTTGCATCTCCAGGCCAAATGCACCTGGAGAGAAATACCTGTGCTGACCACCTCCCTTTCACTCTCGTTACAAAGCGGAAATGGACACGACTCTGCTCCATTGACGTTTCTGCAACCCCAGTGCGTTCACTTCCCCGCTTTCCCAAAGGGACACTTCACCCCGTTCACTTTCCCCTTCACACCATCTACTTGCCTCTTCCTCCCTCCACCTGCCTCTGCATCCTTGAGAAAGTAACAGCGATGGGGCAGGGACTCCCCCTCCAGCCCACGTGCACTCACACTGCCCTACCTGCCTTTTAAATGCCCACGCTCCACACTTTTCCTTCCATCACTATGTGGGGATGAAATGCCCCAGCTGTCACCAGAAGCCAAACCCTCCACCGTGTTCTAGCTCCCATCCCATCTCACCTCCCATTATCCATTTCTCCCTCTCCTGAATGATTCCCAACCATATTCTGACACGCTCTAACATTCCCATTTCTTCCTAAGAAACCTTCACACCGACCTTCTTCCTTATCGGGGTGCTATTACCACCGTCCTTACCACCTCCACCACCCCCAAGCCACCCAACCTGCATTCTGTGGGCTCTGGTTCATGGATACAGCGCATGGAAGCCACCAAAGCTCCAAGCTGTCAAACCCAGCGGTCCACTCCTTGGTCTTACTGTTCTAGGTCTCTCAGCATCTCTACACTGGGGTGTTCCTTCATCTCTTCAGACCTGAACTTTTGGCTTCTAGATACACCAAGTTGCTCCCCTCACCCCACCAGCTGCTCCTTCTCAGGCCCCTCCCTGTCTCAGTGTGCTTCTGCCTGGGCCATCGCCTCCTCCAGGCTGTACAATCTCCCCTGATCTCACCCAGACCCGTGTTTTAAATACTATGTACAGACCAATGGTGCTGGAAACTGTCTTCCCTTCAGTAGGCCAGTTGGTCACCACCCCTCACTGTAACTCAATGCCCTCTCCCTACAACTCAATGCAGTATTTCCCTTCTCTCAGGCCATGCTCAAGTCCGAACTCCTCCAGGACAATAAAAAATCTTCCAGGGCCCACACGGCCCCCACTGATCTCTCCCTTTTCAGGCTTCCTAAATCATTTAAAAAGTCAGCAGGACAGGATTTATTACTTAATTACAGACATTCCATAATTGTTCCCTAAATGTCTGCTTCTTTCAGGCAAACCCTTTCTCCCCAACTAGACTAGGTTTCTGAAGCATTCCTTTCTGTGTACCTGGCACTGAGCTGGACACACTGGTGATGTCCAATTACCGGTTCTTGGATAGCAAATAAACATTTTATAAAGTAAAACCCAAACTCATGCACTATTGTAATCCATTAAAGTCTTGAGAAAAATCCAGACTTTGTCCTTAAGTGACTAATCATAATTTTTTTTAAAAAAAGAAAAAAAACCTTTGTTAAGAATCTCCATGTAGCATCATGAGCAAAAGCTAACATTTGGAAAAGCAAGGGCTAGATTTGTAAAACTATCATTGAAGTCCTCAAAATTTTTAAAACTTAAAATACTGAGCAGCATTACACATAAGACATAGAATTTTAAATTTAGTACATTCCTAAAAAAACATTAAATGTGGTTAAATTTTTATTCCGTGTGTGTGTAAAAAAAACAATAAATGTAGTTTAATCCTTTAATAAATAAAGGCTACATGAAATACAGGGAACAAGTGTGGTCACGCCAAGAATTTCTGCTAGAACTCCCAATAAACAGGGTTTTGGAAATGAGTGCTGTTCACTAAGACAGTTGAAGGTTCTTCGCTTTACGCTACGTTTAAGTCTAGTTCATCTACGAAGTAGAAAAAAAGGGCCTTATTTTCTCAATATTAACAAAAGAAAAATTTATCCCATCCTTGCCAACTCCCATCAATTTTCCAAGATGCAGCCGCATCACAGATCAGCTGAAAACAGTTGGCCACAACTAAGATTAAAACTCGAACCAGAGAGCCTGGCTGCTCTTCAGCTAGCCCCTAAAGCCTCCCCTCCGACCACTCTGGGCAGTGGACACTTGCCACGGACAATCTAGCAACATTGACAGCACCGCACTGCAAGCAACATTGTCCTCTCTAAGCAGGTGGGCATGCTGGGGGCTCCCAGCTTCCATCGCCTCATTTCCCCCTCTCATCGATTCCTTCAAAATTATCTTTCTCAGCCTTCTCGAGATCTTGAGGATTCCCAGCCCCTCGATCCCACCAACTGTGCCCCAAGCGGGGGTCTTGGCTGCCCTCCTCTGAGTTCCTTTTGCTACATGTGCACCAAGTGTTTGTTAGAGCATTTACCATACTGTTCTGAGACAGGATTCAGAAATTTATTCATGGATTTTCCCCCCAAATCTCTCTCCATGTCCCTGGTGAAAAAAGGTCATGTTTATATTCTACAGTGATGTGAAGAGTGTACTCCAAAAAGATATGTCCAAGTCTTAACTCTTGGTACCTTTAAAAAGTGATCTTATTTGAAGATTAAGTTAGGAAAATGGAGATAAAATTATTCTGGACTTAGGGTGGACCCCAAATTCAATAACTGGTTTCCTTATGAGAAAAAGGAGAGTATCTGAGACACAGAGACACGTGGGGAGGAAGCCCATGTGAAGACAAGCAGAGACTGGAGTTGGGCTGCTATGATACAAGGGAGGTCAGGAGATGAAAAAAGCGAGGATTCCTTCCTAGAGCCTTCGGAAGCCTGGTGGCCCTGCTGACACCTTGATTTTAGACTTCTGGCCTCCAGAGCTGTGGGAGAAGAAATCTGTTTTAAGACACCACGTCTATGGTGATTTACAGCAGCCCTGGCAAACGAACATCTAGTCCAAACTTCAACATCTTCCTACCACCTAATGAACCACTCAACAAGAACTGTTGAGCTGAGAACAAAAAGGAAGGTAAGGTGGGAAAGATGAGAAGCATCTGAACCGCAGGACAAGAATCTGGGACACGGATGCCCAATTGTTCATTCACTAGAACTTGGTCAAATCACTTATCCACAGTGACCCTCGGAATCGTTCCCTAATGAAATGAGGGGAATGGCCCGGAAGACCCTCTTCCAAGTCCAATATATCTTGAAGCAATTTCATCCAGAACATTAATTTTATTTGATCCTTAAATTACAATTTCTTCTGACTCACTAAATAAATTTTGTTAATTTCTTTTCAATGTAAAAACCTTTCAGGAGCAAAGTAATTGGATTAAAATGACATTTCAAAGGCACTTATGTTTTTCTCAGCTTGTGAAAAATTAAGGAAAACAGTTTAACTGATAACATGCTGAAAAGTGATTCTCTACAACATCATTTTTTTTTTTCCTATGAAGCGAAATCGACAATTTACAAGTTGTTGATCTAATCCAGTAAGAACTGCTGACGTTTTGGGAAAAGTCGACCTAAACTTGAATCAGTTTAAGCGTCTCTGATCTAGAACCCAAATGTATGATGACCAATTCATGCAGAGCAATAAGGGGCACCTCCGACACAGGGGTTTTTCTCCACTTGGCTCAAGGCTCTAATTAAGGTCCCACACCCCAAATTTCCACTTCAAAGAATCTGGCTAAGAAACAAATACAGCTGCCGCTACTACCAAATGGTCAACAGTTGGTAGAGGAGTCAAACAAAACGAAAACGATTTTACCCATTTTCATGCCTCCATAAACACACACACACACACCCGGGTTGGGCTTAAATGAAAAACCATATTTTAAGTTTTTTCATGGGTCACGCTGCTCCCCTGGCCTCCATGTTTTCATAGTGGCAGCCTTGATTCTTTTTTAGGAAACCAATCAAAACAAGGGGACCGACTCATATTTCACGTCGACAAAATATCCATTAGAAACACTTTCAAACTTTTCCAAACCAATTCATAGTTCAGAAAACAAAATCAAGAGTCACTGAGCCAACTGTTCAGCTGGAATCAGCAGAACCACGCTTGCAAAACCAGACCGTGAAATCTCAGCACAAACTCAGAGGCCAAAAACTTCCTTCTAGGTGCCAACTCAATCCGAAAATCAAGTCCCTCGAGGTGGAAGGCTAACAAACCGACAGTTTCCAATTCCGAAGTTCTCGGCTTTTAAATTGGAGCTCGCACACACGTTTAAACGAGGCTGGAGGATACACGGCTGGCTTCTTCCCGATTATGTTTCCAGCCCTTAATAACAACTCCATTTCAAAAGGTGCTCTTTAACTGTAATAAAACGAAGATGGCAAAAGGCAAGGCAATGGGGGGGAGGAGGGGGGACGCGGGGCGGGGTACACACAGGGACGTTCAAAGTCCTTGTATTTGATAACGCTGCAACCAGCCTCCGAGTGTAACTTTACGAGCAGAGCTGAAGGGCTGGCGCTGGGACTCCAGCGCTGTTTTCTGAAGTCCGAGCTCAGGATGAATGAGCTGTAACTCTGCCCACTGCATGTTTACTCGCATCCTCACGTGGCACCGCGCTGCGACAGGAGCGCTGCGCCCAGGCAGCGCGGGGCGCGCGGGTGAACCCGAAAACTTTTACTTTGCAAACTAGCGGGGCTGGAAGGCGATTCGGAGGCCGATTCACTAGCCTTCGCCCGGAATGCGCCGAGGCCAAGCCCAGCACCCAGCAGCCCCCCGCCCGCAGCTTCATTCACACAAAGGCGCGTGGGTGCCGGCAGGACCCCGCTCCGAAGCTGCGGGGAGGCGGGGCGACGAGGAGGCGCCGCAGGGCGAGGGCGGACGCGAGGGCTACTCACAGGGTGACCGTGCGGTTGGGCAGCGTGTCCGGGGGCAGGACCTGGGCGAGCTCCAAGCTGCTGCACACCACCTTGCCCTCCGCGGCACTGGCCGCCCTGCCGGCCGCTCGGGGTCGCCCGTCGTGCTTGCAGCCCGGGGGCA